GTTCAGGGGATCACCTGCCACAATGTCGTGTTTAATGAGTTGAGCGATACGACATTTTAACGTCTCGGTTTGTTTCTCACTGGAAACGTCACTAGGCCGCTAGACGATGCTGTCTGAATCCCGTGCAAATCCTCTAATGGTCATTAATGTCAAAAAGATCAAATTGAAAAATAGCTCTTCCCAAGATAAGAACAAGATTGATTCAATGGCTTCCAGAAAGATCTCTCCACGACGATATTTGTTTTGAAAATGTCTTTACAATTTACACGGACTTTTTGTATTCTTGTAAAAGTATCACTTTAAAGTTTGGTGATACATGATATAAAAATCTCAGATGTTCACCTGTATTTTGCAATGTTTTCCGTTGAAAATTATATACAATATTGGTAGCAGATATACAAAAGTAGAAAGAGGTGTAAGACAATGATGTGTTGTCTCACCGGACTTATTCTATCTATACTGTTGGGCGATTCTGAGAGAATTAGATGTCCTACCAGGATTTATTATTTGCGGTCACAATAATAACGATATAAAATATGATGCTGACACAGTGCTGATAGCAGACACGGAAAGGAAACTACAAGAACTTCTATAGAAGGAAGTGAAAGAATGCAAAGAAGAAAAGAACTAAACATGAGTTGCAAGAAGACAGAATGCATGGCTGTTGGCAAAAGGATGAGGGCAAAATGTAAATTAGTGGGATAGCCAAAGACGCCTTCCAAAAATTAAGCAGAGTATTAAGAAAGAGGAAAAAATCGCTAGAAGCAAGGAAAAAAAGTACTTAATTATTGCGTAATATCAAACCTTATATATGGAAGTGAATGTTAGACAATCTCTTCAAAGATGAAGAAGAGACTTGAAGCATCAGAAATGTGGTTTTACAGAATAATGCTGAGAATAACCTGGACCGAATATTTGAGCAACGACAAAGTTTTAATAAAAAGGGAAAGAAAATGAAATATACTTAACATCAAGAAAAGACAGTTGAAATTTCTATGGCACCTAATGAGGAAAGAAGGCTTGGAAATTCTGATACTCAGAGGACAGAGTAAAGGCTAAGAAGGACAAGTAAACAACGCATTGCATGCTTAGTGAGATTCTATAAATGGGTGATGGAATAAGGTTTACGGGAAATAACAAAACGACAAAATGTATTAAGAGCTACGGAGAACAGGAAATTGTGGAGAGCCATGATGGATACGACACTTAAAGCAGAAGGACAACCCCATCCTACAAAAGTAAAAAAAAGAAACAGTCATTATCTCTACCTCTTGCCTAAAAATGCTTACTACTGTTGAACACGTTTAAGATTTATATTATTTAAATATTTGTATTTTATTATTTATTTTAGTTTATATTTTGTATTTTATTATTTATTTTATATTAAATTTTGTCATATTATTATATTATATTTATTTTATTAATCAAATATATTCTTCAAATATTAAATTTTATTATTTATTTTATATTATATTTATTTTCATAATATTTATTTATATTATTGTATTATATGTATTTATTATTCAAATATATTGTATTATTTATCTATTTTTCATAATATTTATTTATATTATTATTTTATATTTATTTTATTATTCAAATATATTATTCAAGTATTATGTTTTATTATTTATTTTATATTATATTTATTTTCATAATATTTATTTATATTATTGTATTATATATATTTATTATTCAGATATATTGTATTATTTATATATTTTCCTAATATTTATTTATATTATTATATTATTTTTTATTTGTTATTCTAATATATTATTCAAGTATTATGTTTTATTATTTATTTTATATTATATTTATTTTCGTAATATTTATTTATATTATTCTATTATACATATTTATTATTCTGATATATTGTATTATTTATATATTTTCATATTTATTTATATCATATTATATTTATTTTATTATTTAAATACATTATTCATGTATTATGTTTTTTATTTATTTTATATTTTACTTATTTTTATAATATTTAGTTATATTATTATATTATATTTATTTATTATTCAAATATTATATTTTATAATTTATTTTATAATATATTTTTTCATAATATTTATTTATATATTATATATAATTATAAATATTATATTTATTTATTAATCAAATATTATAAATATTATAGTTATTTGTTATTCATATATTATATTTTATTATTTTATTTTTCATAATATTTATTTATATTATTATATTATATTTCTTTATTATTCAAATATTTATTTTATTATAAAAAATTATATTCTATTATTTTTATATTATATTTTTTCATAGTATTTATTTATAATATTATATCATACTATATTTAATTTATTATTCAAAAATATTATTCAAGTCTTATATTTCATTATTTATTTTATGTTATATTCATTTTAATACTATGTATATATTTTATTATTTATTTTATAATATATTTTTATAATATTTATCTATATTATTATATTTATTTATTATTTAAATATCATAATTTATTATTTTTGTATTATATTTTTCATAATATTTATTTATATTATTATATCATGTTTATTTTATTATTCAAAAATATTACTCAGGACTTATATTTTATTATTTATTTTATATTATATTTATTTTCCTAATATTCATTTATATTATATTTCATTATTTTATTTTTCATAATATTTATTTATATTATTATATTGTATTTATTTATTATTCAAATATTATATTTTATTTATTTTATAATATATCCTTCCGAAATATTTATTTATATTATTATATTATATTTATTTATTATTCAAATATTATAAATATTATATTTATTTATTATTTAAATATTATGTTTTATTATTTTTTATATTATTTTTTCATAATATTTATTTATATTTATTATATTTATGTTATTATTCAAATATTTGGATAAATCAAAAGAATGCTAGTAGAATTTCGGTTGTCACCATGATACGAGGAATAGACACGTCATGTTCGCATTCCAGCCCTCACTTTCGCACTAATTGCAGTTGAAAATGAACGAATCTGTTTTGCCAGAAGTGGATTAGATAGCAGAGAAGCTTTCTTGACTTTCACGGCAGTCAAACTAAGAGAAAGTAAACTCTGAATTGCCTCTTTCTAAAGTCAGGTTAATACACACAGATAACAGAGAAAACGAACCTGAAGGGAGATGACACATAACAGAAAAAAAATATTGCTTACTCTAGTCTTGGTTAGAGTCTAATCTAGACGACGGAAAGACCAAAACCGTGGAGATGTCCACTGGAAAACTCTTAGCCAAGAAAACATAAATCACACATCACACAAAAGTGTGTAAATTGCTTTCGAGTAGTTCGTAACAAGTCCTCAATTTCTCGTCTAAATAGAGTCCCAAAGTGTCTCCACGTCCTTGTGAATTATTTTCCAACCGGAAATCCCTCTCCCACCGGCGGGATATGGCAAGACTTTCACCGCTCTATTGCTAATTCCATGATAAGTGCTCAGACGAACTGCATTTCTGAGTTCCGCGAGATCTAACCTTCAAGACTAGGACGTTTCATACGACTCACTGTTGCACCGGCCTCTAACACAAGGGAATTACACCGGTTCTCACTATATATATATATAGTGCCAGTAATACCTACCCGGTGTAAGCAGCGATAGTACTACAACTGCCTAGCTGAGCAGTATCCGTTTTCCTACCTTTGTATCTGTCATGTTGAATACACTTGTTCTCTAAACCAACTTCGACTTGATTTTCTTATTTTTACTATTGTGCCACGACACAACACTCACTTTGTAGCGAATCAGCCTCATTCCCTTCGTATTCCATTGGTGAGAATTAAGTTCCCCTCTAGCAGCTTCTTCCCGCTAACCGCTGTTCAGTGGAACCGACTCCCAAGAGGATGCTTCCCCAATCACTAACCTGCTCCAATTTAGCATTAACGTTTATCTTCCCCACCTAACCGCATAAACTGTACCCCTTATTCTTAACACTCTACATCGAGTGGCTCCTGGTCATTATATAGGGTAAACCCTGTCATATCGGCCATGAAAGTTTCCACGAGAGTTTGTATCATGGAGTAACATTCTAATTTGTTATAAGCATTCTTATTCATTATAACAAACCCACATTCTTTGTTAGAAACAGTGATAGGAATTTTCTTTTTACATTAATAGATTTTTGTGTCTTTGTGGTACCACAGATCATCTTTTTTAAAATTGCAGTGATTGATCCTTGAATAGAAACTTTCTTAAAATGCCTGTTGAGTCAACTCTGTGATTCTTAACTATTGTGTTGATAATTCCACGATTAGAGACACTTAAAAGTATTTTCATTGTATTTCTCCTTCTCCCGTAAATATTGAGGGTTACAATTTCTAAGTGCTTTTAAATCGAAACTGTTAGTTATTCTACATATTATGTTGTTACTGTATGAATAGAAAGATATGAGATCATTTTTATCTTGCATTTACGATAGATGCTGTCATAGGTAATCAGAATTTTTTCTAATAAAAATCGATATTGCAAATGAAAAAACATCGCTGTGTGATGAATTGGCATTTTTTTAATGCCAAGAAGAGGTTGATTTTTTCTTCTTTTTATTTATTGGACTTATTTTTTTGAAACCATCTGTCTGACGGTAAAATTGGATAAAAGGATTTAGTATGATGCAGCCATAAGCATATCTGTCATGTTAATCCCGTTTTGTTTTATGGCATCAATGTTTTCATGAACGTTTGTATCATGCAGGAACATTATAATTTGTTGCAGGTATCCTTATTCATGATAACAATCCCACATCTTTTGTCCGAAGAAGTGATGGATATTTCCTTAACTCTTTGAGACGTGACCACCGCTTTACCGGTGGTTGAGAAAAATGACGTAATGTCCAGCCACCGGTTGGGCAGTAGGAGAGAAAAATGACTTAATGACCAGCCACCGGTTGAACAGTAGGGAAACACTTACATCGTGTTTTGTTATTGGTTGTCTTATTTTAAAGAGCTAATCAGAAAAGCCGTAATAGTGTGATGTCATCGAACGTTATACCATTATGTGCATATCTTTTCATTGAGTTTTGTGCATGTGTTTTGGATAAAAAAATCATTTTTAACCATGAAGCGTACAGCGTCTAAACCTTAACCGCCGGGGAAGCAATCAACAAGTTATATTTTTTGTAAATATTTTTATAACTATCATGAAACATTACATACCAATTATTTGCGAATTTTGACTTAGGAGCTCAGGTAGAAGTGTCAGAGTTACCTCCTCCTTAATTCCCTAATCGTTCACTAGGGGTCTCTCTTCCTCTACTATAAATACGACTTCTTGCCTCGTTCTCTTTTTCATTTCTTCATTTCAGCGACTACAATGTAAGCTTTCTTAGAAGATCCGCGTCTTCCCATTTGTGGGAGACGCCGTGAACATTATACACACATACACGTACGTACGAACATTCACCAAAGAACAGACACAAATTTCACACACTTACAAATGTCATTGTCTATGTCCATTGTAAAATTGTGTTGTTTAATATATATATATATATATATATATATATATATATATATATATATATATATATATATATATATTCTTCTCCTGATGATGGCCATTTTGGCCGAAACTAGTCGAGGAATCTAAATGAAATAATAATAAAAAAAAACGAAAGAATATTATTCTACAACCCAGTGTATCTGAAGATTTTATTTTTTTAATATTTTTTTATTGTTCAAAAAATATATATATATAGATAGATAGATAAACCTAGTGAGCCAGACAAACTGGCTTTCCCTGACGATCCGCTCAGATGAAAACTGGGTAGGTTTGTCTGGCTCACTAGGTTTATCTAGGTCTGCTCTACTGTTGTATTGAGCTCTTTTGTTAGTTAGTTGTTTACTCGTATTGGGGTTTTTTCTTTGGGCTTGAAACCTTTTTTCGACAGACTTTCATGTTTCTAGCTCTTTCTTTTTTTAAAACCTTTTTTCCCTCGAGATTGATTTGATTATTGGCAAGTCAAAAATTCAAGGGTTTTTCGAAATGAGTATAGTTATCTATATTTGTATTTATATATATATATATATATATATATATATATATATATGTGTGTGTGTGTGTGTGAAAAGTGTATATAAATATAAACAAATATATATATGTATAATTATTTATATATTATATGCGCGGTACTTATTAGAAAGCGCTCAATATCAGAGATAGAGCTAACATATTTGGTTGGATAGATGTGAGTTTGTGACCCTGGTTCACTCCAATCTCCAACTACCATAATTTTACACAGAATACCTATTATCAGGATTTATACCAAAATAAATTAATACATATAACAAAATAAAACAAAAATAAAATAAAACACCAACAACCACTTTTTAGTTCAAGCTACCACCACTATAACTACATTCATGGTTTTATCATTCTCCCACCACCGTTACTAATCATTTCTACCAATTTACAATTTCTACCAATTTAAAATAACTATTAGCTAACTATCATTGTCTCCAATCCCTTGAAACATTACTATCACATCATACCATATAAACCCGTTATTAAACTGAACTACCCTCTCACCCAGCACATTGAATATTAAACTAAACATCACCATATAAATTAACCAATAAGGATTACAAATTTCTACCTGTTACATATACACAGTCACCAAAAACAAACAAATAACCAGCTTTAAATATAACAAATAAAGCCCCATTTTTTTTCAAAATTTAAAAATAAATATAAATAATAATAATATTTACCTATCATAATTTTACACAAACCCCACCACACGCATATACATACATGCGAGGAAATATTTTTGCAGCTGGAAAATACATATGACATGTACACATCAACGAGACATTTCCATAAAACTTCCAATGTTTAGATTTCAACATTTCAACATACAAATGCGTATGTATAGATATAACACCACCTGTATACATACATGTGTCATAGCCAAAACTGCCCACATATGTTTATATATGTATGAGTCCCGACGGACGACCAAGTATGTATATGTGTCTGCATACATCGATATTTGCGTTAGTACGATGAATGACAAAACGACGAAATTTTCCCCACCACTTCCACAATAACACCAATACACACAATCTACATAAACCCAAATTTTTAAAACATTAATCAGTTTGTCTGACGATCACTAAAGCGTGAAACCCAGGGTCACAAACTCACATCTATCCAACCAAATATATATATATATATATATATATATATATATATATATATCGATTTTGTTTGTCTTCTTTACATCTACAGTTGGACTTAATTCAAGTCCGGCAATTTTCTTACAGTTGGACCTTTTAATATTCTACCAGGAGTTACACACATTTTTCTATTTTAAGAACGCACAAATCTATATGGTCTTCTACAGAAGATTTAAAATTATTCAGGAACGCAGGGCTAAAAGGTTTAATTTAAAAAAATTTGTAATACATTTCTAAAATAAAAAAGATTAATCTTTGAATAAAACCTTTGTTACAATTCTTTTTGTTCCGTATGTGATACTTAACTACTGTGTCGATAAGAATTTTGTAAAAATTCCGGTGGTAAATTTCAGTCTGAAGTTTTTCTAAAAAGGTAACGAAAGTATTACAACACGAAAATTCGTTAGTTACGAAGAAGAATACTGAACTGTTACGTAATATCAATCCTCCAATATGGAAGTGAATGCTGGAAAATCTTATCGCAGATGAGGAAATCAAACGTGATGCTACAGAAGGATGCTGAGAATGCCATGGACTGAACATGCGAGTAACGAGGAAATTTTAGAGAAAATATAACAAAACAAGGGCACAAACTTAAAACCAGAAAAAGGAGAACTGAAATTTCTGGTGCACATTTAATGGGAGGAGGGTTTCCAAAATCTAACACTCATAGGACAGATCGAAGGTAAGAGAGGAAGATGAAAACAACGCATAGCCAGACAGCATGAGTAAATGGATGAGAGAAAAGGTCATGGAAAGATAACAAAAAAAAATTAGTAAAACTAAAAAAAAAAGGAAATAGTGGAGAGCCATTATCGCAAGAGAACTGAATAGACACAGGGCATAGACCAAGAGGAATATTGATATATAACGTTATTATATAGTAGTCTTTCAATCTATCTATCTATCTATCTATCTATCTATCTATCTATCTATCTATGTCAGTCTTTTCATTATCTATCTATCTATCTATCTATCTATCTATCTATCTATCTCAGTCTGTTCATCATGCATGCATGTATGTATGTATGTATGTATGTATCTGTCTATCTATCTAGTTCTGATAAAATTTCCATTTCTGTATCATCTATCTATCTATCTATCTCGGTCTGTTCATCATGCATGTATGTATGTATCTATCTGTATATCTATCTAGTTCTGATAAAATTTCCATTTCTATATCATCATCTATCTCAATCTGTTCATTATCTATCTATCTATCTATCTATCTATCTATCTATCTATCTCTGTCTATCTCAATCTGTTCATTATTTATTTTCTGTAAACCATATATTTTTGTTTGTATGTGTATCCGTGTAGCTACATTCACGTCTCTTTTTCACCGAGCCTTTGATAAAGGCGGTCCTGACATCTGTGTGTTGTTCGTAGGGCAGAGTGACATCCTCGATGGAAAGAAATTGTTTCCTTTTTTATTCGACGTTTCGCCTGCCAGATCTTCGTTGCCAAGAAGCGTCAGCAAAAAGAGTGTAGGAATTTCTCTTATCTCGCTTTGTAATTCACAGAATACCGTGCCACTTGCAAAGTGTTCATTAAATGATACGCCATGTTTCAGATGCATAAAAAGCGGTGAAAAACCGAAGTAACATGGCCGACATTTCAGTTATACGAAAGCATCGACTGGCGGCAAATTCTATTGATATTACGAGGTGCCGCCTTTTCCTGTGACATAAATAATTATCGTTATTTAATTATTATTAGATTATTGCAGAAGAGACAATCCCTTAATGGGAAGAGGGGTTCGGGTTTGCTGCTTTTATTTGATATGAGTACATATTGCAGTGATTTTTAACACCTGTATAGAAGTGGATTTGGAAATTGACGCATCACATTCTTTATTTCTCTCTCTTCTCCCTCTAACACTCTATCTCTTTCTCTTTCTCTTTTTTTAATCATTTAACCCCAAGCAAGGCAATAAAGTAACTAAGAGACAAGGAGGTTACTGTGAGTTAGAGAATATTAAACAAAAATAAACAAAAAAAAAAAAAAAACAGAATTAAGAAGACAGAAGATAATGACTGACATTTCATTTAAATTTTTGATGATCAAAGTTGGCTGGAAAGCAAGAGGTTGGAAGAGAGTTCCACGAATGGGAAGTAAGATGGCATAGGACTTACAGGTACATCTGGCTATCTTAACTATAAAATGGCGACATATTGCTGAATGTCTAGTAATGCATTTAAAATCATAGTTACGATAGAGGAAAGTGATATTTATTCTGTTTAATACAGAAATGTGGCACAAGTGGATTGGAGAAAGGACGGTCTTCTTCTGTCTTAACTATAACTTAGTTAGTCGCAAACACTGACCCAATCATACGAACAATATTCCTTACACCAAAACAACACATTCATACGCACCTTTCTTACTACAGCCACCATAATACCTCATTGTCTCTATGAATGTACTAACTAGACCCCATATTTACAATTGTCTGTGGGGGGAAGGGGAATAAAACAACAATAGAGGAAAGTTCATCAGAACACTTGCCGAAAAAGTATTTATAGAAAAGGCACAAAGAAACTACATCACAGCCGAGATGCCAGGTCAGGAACAATAACATTGCAGATTTTTCTTTGAATTTTATCAAGAATATCTAAATATATAGCACAAGTAGCAGATCCGATGTGGCAAAATATTCAATGCATGAATGGGTATGTAATATCAATCGTCAAGGAATACATTTTTAATAATTTCTTCTCAAGCAAGGGTATAAATCCACTAAGACGCAAAAGGTTGTTGAATGCCAAAGAATATTAGAAAAAGAAAAAAATATTAAGGAAAGAACAGGAATTAAGAAGACAAAAGATAAAGATTGATATTGCATTTAAATTTTTGAAAACCAAATTTGACTTGGAAGTAAGCAGCCGGAAGAGAGTTCCACAATCGAGAAGTGCGATAGAAGAAAAATAGCATAGACCTGACGGTTACATCTAGCCATTTCAACTTCAAAATTATGAGACCTAGCAGCCAATCTAGTACTGCGCTTAAGTTTAGGCACCAAAGAGGAATGTTCATCCAAGCAATAACCATGAAATTTACAGCGGTGGGAATGTGACTGAACCGAGATACCAGGTCAGGGCCAATAACATTGCAGATTCTTCTTTGGATTTTATCAAGAATCTCTAAATATATAGCAGTAGCACCTGATGTGGCAGAAATATTTAAAGCAAGGGCGAATGTATGTAGCATCTGACGGTGTTATGCCTTAACTGCTGATGGTAGCGCAGTATCTCTTATGGCTGTACAGGCTCACACTGGAGTGACAGTCGATTGTAACCAATGCATGCAAAGACACTCGCTCCCGATATCGCAGTGTTGTTTTCTTTCCTTCGAGCACATGTCACCTCGGTTGCAAGCCTCAGTTTCTTCTCTCCTCGCTCAAACCCTCGCTGTAAGTCGCGTTTCCAGCATGAACGATCGTTGGTGACCTCTTTCCACTACTCGATGTTCATGTCCATCGCCCTCAGGTGACATTTCGCAGACGTAGTTCAAGTAACGATGAGGTCGTCTTCTTGCTGCTGGGCAGTTTCCCATACATAAGGACTTTCGGAATTCTTCCATCAGAAGACATTTCTTTTCGTGTTTTGCCTTCACGGTGAGGCGACACTGGCGTGTGCTCTACATACGCAGGCATGTGTGAGTTTAACAGTATGCTTCATTTTTGCTGTTTCTAATTTTCTCCTCCTCTGTGGGGAGATTGTTCAGCATTCCCTGCCACATAAGAAGACAGATATCTTATAGAAATCCAGATTTTTTCTATTTTTCTGGAAGTTATGTAATTACCTCCCTTTAATATAATGAAAAACCTGAGTGGCAATCCCTAACCTGCTCACTCAGCCATATTCCAAGAGAAGTTTTTCTATTTCATGATAAATTTGACTTTAGTTTAAAAAAAAAAAGTAAATACTAAAACTACTCTCTTCATTTTAATTTTTATTTTATTTTATTTTTTAATTTATTTATTTTTTTTTTTACAAATAATGAATATTTAATTATTGCTTTTAAAATGTTTGGTTTTTAAAGATACATCAGATTTTTATTTAAAACCTCCACTTCCATGCTGGAGCCACAGTGAGTCAAAAAGGGCATTTCATGGAAGTAATTACCTCCCTTTAATATAATGAAACAACTGAGTGGCAATCCCTAACCTGCTGATTCAGCCATATTTCAAGAGAAGTTTTTCTATTTCATGATGCGAGAGAGAGAGAGAGAGAGAGAGAGAGAGAGAGAGAGAGAGAGAGAGAGAGAGACTAACAGTATTCTCTTTACTTTAAAAAAAATTAATTTTTACATTTTATTTCTTTTTTTTTATAAATAATGAAAATTTAATTGTTCATATAATCTTGCTTTTAAAATGTGTAGATTGTTAAAAAAAACAAAACACATTTTTATTTAAAACCTCCACCTTCTCCATGCTGGAGGCACAGTAAGTCGTAAAGAGTATTTCATGGACTTGTGCATATTATTCTCTCAAAACCTCCACATATAATAGTTGTTTGTTAGAAGCTGAATGGCAAGTAAGAATCTATCTAACCTTGAAATTAAAAAAAAAAATGTAGATTTTATGGTAGGGTTCTGAAAGAATATCTTTTCAGATTTTAATCAGAAATGTTAGTTCTATTTTGCACTGTTTACCTTAAAATGATAAAACTGTTGTGTTAGAATATTTCTTAGTGTGTGTGAGTAAGTTTTTTTTTTGTTTTTTTTCTTTTCTTCAATCTTAGATGATTCCAAAATTCCAAATTAAGCATGTGGTATTAAGGGCAATTTTCAATAAATAAAATGCTTTCTTATTTTATTTGATATATATATATATATATATATATATATATATATATATATAATTTCAAGAAAGAAAAAACTTAACACATCATCGAATAATTCAGTAAAAATTTATTTTGACAGATAAGATTTTTATATCTGCCTCATCAGACTGAAATGACAAAATGGTTTAAATTTATCCAGACAATATGTTAAAAAATATTTTAAAATTAAAACACAAGAGAACTGGAAGTAAATGTCTAAATTAGTTGACGTAGAAAAATTTTTCCTGGGGATTTACACTATTGAAGAGAAGAGTGGGGGAAAGAAAAGTGAAAAGCAAGATGTCAGCTCCATAAATAAGAGTGGGTGCAGAAAGTACAAGTGACAGCTAGTGAAAGACATTGGAATTAAATCAAAATTTATATCATTTAAGCTACGTCCATATAACTTGAATTAAAGAATTTGTGGGTATATATATATATATATATATATATATACAGTGTGATTAATGGGTAATATATATATATATATATATATATATATATATATATATATATATATATATACCAGTTTCATTAAAAACGACTGACAAGAGACTGTTTCTCCATAGCGGACATATATCTTCGCCTTACTAACTTTTTAAATAACTTGTCTTTTACGTGGGATATTTAATTAATGTTATTAATGAAACTTGTATAAAAGATGGATTGCTGCCAAAATAGTCAATTATATATATATATATATATATATATATATATATATATATATATAGTGTATTGGGGCAACAGATCGTTATTCAAACATATATATAATATAAATATAACAGACAACGAGTGTATGTTATGTTTGATAATGAGCCGCTCTAAACTCCGTATATTTTCTTTTATTTCAGAAGAAAATAAAGACAAAATTCATCCAACATTAGGATATTTTTTTATTATGCTGTTCCTTGATCTAAGATTTCGACTCACATGAACCATCTCCAGAGTGGTTATACGGACATGTATGTTTTTTTTATTTTTGTTGATTCAAAATTTTGATTACATCAAAAGCTATTTTTAGGGGGCACTCGTATTTGAATAGAAGCTCCATCTTTAAAACAGTATTTATTTTGTCTACAAGTCTGCGTAGTATGATAAATTAAAGAAAATGCCAGAGGGTACTTTTTCTTCCATAACAATTCTTAGTTGTGCAGGATGAAAGACCAAATAAATATTGTTTAAAAGAGATGTTGTGTCAACTCAGATACGGTTGACCACTAAAGATAAACGGTTAAAATCGCGTGTCCAGCATGAGCGATCGTTGGCGACCTCTTCCCACCACTCGTTGTTTAGGTCCATCGCCCTCAGGTGACATTTTGCAGACGTAGTTCAAGCAAAGATGAGGTCATCCTCTTGCTGCTAGCCACTTCCCAATACAGAAAGACCTTAGGAATTCTCCCATCAGTATACTCTTTCTTTCCGTATTTTCTCGTCACGGTGAGGCGACACCGGTGTGTCCTTTCTAGGACGCAGTCATATGTAGGGTTTTATGAGAGATTGTTTGATGCCCATGCAGCAGGTCTTCCCTCTCCAAACTATCAATGTTGTTCAAGCGAAAGGAAGAGACTAATACAGCTTGGCACCAGGGTATTCGCAGGATTTGCCTGAACGAAGTCGAACATGACATTGGACTGTCTTAAGGACTCCGGGTCCAGATTCGTCCTC